TTTTATTCTACAATTTGATTGGTTCTCGCTGTCTAAGCTACTAGTGATCTATCACCAATAGACCACTAGTAGCTCAGCCAATCAGAGCGTGCGATTTATGATAGACAAGAATTATTAGACATCTCATTCTCATGTTCTATGAGCAGTCCATACAGACTCTTGGACTGTTCACTCCTAGACCATTCGGCCTTTGGGTCGAATTGTTAAAAACTCATATTGAGAATATGTGGACCGCGTAGCTTTTATGAAATACAAGATGTAGAAATATAGATAAGTTATAGTGCTTGGGAACGAGGTTATTCTGGGCGAAAGACCCTTGGAAATAAATTCGGAAAAATTAATTTCCAACCTCGCTGGGAATGGAACCCACGACCTTCGGAATTGTACTACCAATGCWCTACCAGCTGAGCTAGAGGTCAGACTGAGAGCAGGCCAGGGTGAAATAGATGTTTGGTCATATTGACTACCAATGAAAGTACAAATTTCTGATAATTTTTGAACCTAAATAACTTTTCTATTTATTGAATGGATTTATATAATGTTCATCTAACTMTGTTATATACAATTAAACATATTAACTTCAAAATAATTATAGTTCTCTATCTTTAAATTTAACGATCTTATTTTAAGGCCTTGTGAATGGCTCCTTTTTGGAACAATAACAATAACGCATTTTAATCTTTTCAAACATTTCAACCCTACTTTCCTCTTTAGCTTGGGCATAACATTTCCCCATTTCATACAACCTGCCATTCTTTTGAGAATAAGATTCTTTGTTTTTGATTGTATCCATATTCATGTGTCTTTTTATGTGCAGCCGTTAAACAATGAAATGATACTCAATAGAATGACATTTGGTCTGGAGAATACATTATTCCGAAACTAAATATTCAATCCAGACCATTTATTAAACCTTATTATTATATAATTACCAATGAAATATCTATTTTTCTCTATTTCGAAGAATTGATATCTTCACACGTGAAAATAACATGTTATTTTCACGTGTCGAAATAACACCATTGCGATGGCTATTCAAAAATACACGGAAAGAATTGCCTAAAAAAGCCAAAACATACTYCATTGATAATTCTATAATAAACAGAATATTACATGGGTGCTTGGAGATACGAAATTTATCTTCTCGTGTTGAAAATCTCTCACTCGTTCACTGTGCTCACTTGTGAGAGATCTTTTCAACACTTGAAGATAAATTTCGTATCTCCCCGCGCCCATGTAATATCCTCTTTTATTATTGTGGACAGCTCTTGACTTTCATTTCTTCCTGCACAACTATATATATCTTTCAAGGTGACAGGATTCCTTTTGTTGCTTGAAGCTCCTGCAATGTTGAATCAATGGTTCAGACATGTTGAAACAAAGGATTACACTTTAACATAGAACATTTATTAATAACTAAAATAAGTATAGTCACTGTCATAGCACAACAATGATATCTGCTGATCCAATCATACAGTGATTTTACTTGGACTGTGCAAAAATAGTAATCATTATACAATGAAAATCATCCAACTGTGGAATAGATGAGAATATGTGGACTGCGTAGCACTTATGAAATACATGAAGATATAGAAATATAGATAAGTTATAGTGCTTGGGAATGAGGTTATTCTGGGCGAAAGCCCTTGGAATTAAATTCGGAAAAATTAATTTCCRACCTCGCTGGGAATCAAACCCACGACCTTTGGAATTGTACTACCGATGCTCTACCAGCTGAGCTAGAGGTCAGACTGAGAGCAGGCCGGGGTGAAATAGATGCTCGTTCCCAAGCACTATAACTTATCTATATTTCTATATCAACTGTGGAATAGGCCTGAGTTTTCTTATGACGGCGAAGCCCACTTTTGTATGATTGCCACACCCATTTTCATTGATGAGTTCCAAACTCTCAATGTGCATGAGATGAAAATGGGTTGGACAATCATACAAATGTGGGCTTCACTGTCATAAAACTCAGGCCTATTCCACGGTTGGGTGATTTTCCTTGTACATCATAGTGGACACATGCTAAGACTCTTACTTTGATTTTAAGTCAATAATTATCTGAATTTGTTTCACGAGTCAAGTAAAAACACTCTGATGTTAACAGCTTATGTAATTGGGAAGCTTGGCACTTCGCAGCATAATGYGATACCCTAAGATTTTCACAGCCAAGCAAAAGCTGCCCCAAGATATTTGGTTGATGAAGTTACCTCTTTATACTTTTGGATTATAAGTGCCTTCAGTTCCTGCGGCCATAGAGGTCCAACCAACTTTCTATTCTTTACGATATATACCTATAACACAACCATAATATGTTACAGCATGATATGTAAAAGTATGACTGGCAATCATGTATTTGTGTAGTTTTATTCGAAGCTAGCATTTTGTATTAAATAAGAAATGTTAAAGCTTGTTTGGTAGCTAAAAAATGTCTATCAAATATGTATGTATTCATAAAGTTGTTTCTAATTATTGTTTAAAGATTTTAATGTACACCACTAAACCACAACTAAATACCTATGTTATATTTATAGTTATATAGTTATGTTTTTTTTWAAATCAGATCTTTTTGTAAAGAGCTGTTGAACCAGTGGGATATTAGYGCTATATAAATCATAATTTATTATTATTATATAAAAGAGTTGCAGAGAAGTATGCAAATCTATTAATGTAGACATACTTTTGTGCTTTGCACTGTAATTTCATTATTAAATTGTGAATAATTCATGATGAAAACAGTAATATAGAAAACAGTGACCAAGGACAAGTCTGTAAATCAGATACTGAATCTTCATCATTTGTATACCTGTTCGTACTGGTTTTGGTACATCTCACCAATAGGACCAGCACTTATTCGCACCTCCATGATATTGGACATGTAGCCAACTTTTACGACTGAAAGCCTGTAAAACAAAAACTTATATGTTGCTCAAAAAAACATATCGCAAATATAAAAGAGATTCCCTGCAGACAGCCTCCATTTATTTTTCTTTTGCTGGATCAGCATTTTACRAGAGAAACAAGGGGGGGAAGGAGCCTGTGCCACTGAGGAGGAAACACAAGAGTCAACTAATGATAGATGTAACCAAGTAATAGTGATAATGAGCTTTTGTAGCAAGCTTTATTGTATTCTGGGTAAGGGTTTTGGTTTTGCAGGGTAATATTTTAGCTCCAAATTCATTATTTTAGCTCCAAATTCATTATTTCATTTTATTGCCTTCATGCCTCATGTGCCTTGCAAAACCAAAAAATAGTCCATATTACACCTGTTATGTTTTACTGAACTTATACCAAAGTAACAAATTGATTTTGTTCATGTGTCTAGCATTTGTGCTCTAATACCTGTAAAGATTTGGGCTGACAGCAGGGGTAAAGTTTCTTAATTCTCTATCTAAAGACAGTCTATAAAGATCTTCATTTTGTCTTGAAATGTTTAAGCCATTAATCCTGCCTGAAAACAATGAAAATTTAGAGCATAAAATGATCCTTTTCCGTAAAGGAAGGAGAAAAAGTTTTGTTCATGTAGTCATGGCCACAGACTCAAACACACACACAAAAAGAAAATAACAATAATAAATAATGATAGAAATTACTAAATTACATGCAAAATTGCARTTAAGTTGGGAACAAAATTCTAATTTTGATCGTTTGTACTGTCATTGTCTTTGAGTAAAAAAATCATGAATTCATTTTAAAGAGACCATCCTCTTTACCTTGGGCATGAGGTTTTCCCATTTCAGACCATGTGTCATTCTCTAGAGTATTATTTCTTTGTTTGTACATAATAAGACAATGAATATGGATACAACTCAAACAAATATTTTTTTCTCTAAAGCCCCGTTTACACTGGCGATTTTTGCGATTTTTGCTGCGATTTTTGTGGCAATTTTTGGAAACACTAACAAAACACTATTTTAATATGCAATTTCTAACCATTTTCCTGGACTCCAAAGACTAGGAATCCTCCCTTAGTGTTTAGGAGTGCATTTCCATATTCCCTTATGGTCTGGAGAGAAAAAAAAAATTAGCAAAATTTAAATGGGAATCTTTTTTTTATTCTATATTCTTATTTTATATCTAATATAGATTCGTCTTCATTTGCATAAACTTTAATTTAGATTTTCTCTATCAAACTTGGTTAATTTCGGTACGATAYGAGAACATACATCATGAGTTTTTTAAGCCRTTTAATAAACTCGCAGATCATGTTTTATCAGGTCTAAAGCCACTCAGCTGTGTTTTATACCCGATAAAACACTCCTGCTTGTTAATTAAACAGTACATACAACACTCAACTGACATGTTGATTTATACCCCACACTGCAGGTGACTTAAATGTAAACAGACTGATTTCATTTATAATTTAGATATGAACTTACATTTGCAAACTCTCCAGATGGATATCCTATATTCTTGAAGAAAAAATACATGACACCAATTCGTTCTTTATAATGGTCACCAATAGAAACCTTGTGCTCTGTGGAAGTTGCCATATTCTGTTACGAGACAATATTGGCAGACAATCAAGCTGATTTGTTTCTGAATCTTGTAAGGAATTGTTTTGGTTAGGATATACCAGATATTTTTGTATGTGAGATAATGACGGCAAAAGGTAAAAGGAAATTCTGCTTGTAGGATAGGAAGTATTAGATCTATAAACCAATTTAATTAGCTGGGGTGTAATGTTTTTCCAACTACAGACAACATCTCATGCACAACTATTAAACAAAGAAATGATACTTGAAGGAATAACACGTGGAAAACATTACGTCCAAGCTAAATTGGTTTATTGCAAGCTTTTATGTGAGGCAATGGCAGCCATGTTGGATGACTTATTGTCCTCCATCAGTGGAACCGATCACTAAATGAAATATGATGTTAGGCCCCTTGCATTAAATCCATACAAGGGGGTCAGAACGAGAAAATAATAACAAGAAAAAAATAGTTTAATCCTCAAGAGATGAGAATTTTTGGCCTCGTGCAAAGGGTCGTTCAATGCGCTTGAATCAATGAGATTTGACTCATTGCAAACGTTTTGTCTGGCATTTGATTGCATAAAAAGCTTAAAAATATGAAACATAAAATAAAGATCAAAGTAGATACCTCATTGATCCAGATGCTTTCTTCTATTTAAGCCTTAATTAAGTAAAAAAAACATACATTTTTTCAGTCAACGGTGCACAGCCAAGCAACAACAACCTCGCGACCGATCGATCCTTTGTTAATGATTGACTTAAAAATTGGCGCGAATATTTTAGCCAATCACATACTCGATTCATTCCCTAACGTCAACCAAGGTGGAACGCCTGTCGAGAATTGCTGACATGTGCAGGTTAAATTGTGGAAAACGATTCAAAACTGGCTAAAAAAAGCTTCAATTTTACTGTAATTTCTTATATAACTTTATAATATTTATTCTTTATTAACGAGGCTATAGGTTAGTCTTCTTGTGTTTTAGAGGCGTCTTTTTAGAAAGGTATTTGTTTGTTTTGAACAGTTGAAGTCAAAAGTCATGCTAAAGATTATTCCAGAAATTCACCTCTATTTTGGTAGATAGAATATTAATCGGGGCTCCAAGGTTCAACTTTCGTGAAAGCCTTAATTTGAATTCAACCAGTCTTTATTTGGTCTGAGCTAATCTTTCAGTTTTAATCCAAATTTGACTTCGACTACAAACAAAGGCAAGAAAAACTAGGTAAGTAGAGAATTTCTTTACAGTTTTTACATATATCACCTGCTGTCATATAGGCGTCCAAGTTGTAGCGAAATTTCCAAACTACATCTGTCCATCACTGTAAAATTTTAATAAAAGCATCATGTTAACTCACGTCAAAGGGATTAGACTTTCAGCAAACACATCAGTTTGGTAGCCAATCACATCCAACAAGGAAGTGGAATAAAGAATGCGAATCAACCCAGCAATGTCTACAGGATTGACCTTTTCACTGCGTCTCGTTTCTCTCCCGATCGGTAAATAATACCCTGCAGCGCTAGCGTCTGTAAAATTTATCGGTTTATTAAACCCTTCTTAATTGTTCAAAAAATGTCTTGTGTACAATATTAAACATTGGAACAATGGCTGAAAAAGACTGTGACGATTCTCTTTTGGAGGCAGAAGATGAAAAACAACTACTACAGCTGATAAGAAAACGTTTTTCGAAAGACCAAGTTTACGTAAGCATGCCAATCCTGAATCTAGTCTGTACTCCGGACCCTTTTTATCAAATTCCCACCAAAATTTTTTACTACTTGCTGAATTAAATTGTTTTTCACAGAATTTGATTGATGATGTGGCTATTTCAATCAATCCTTGCAGAATCCTTCCAGACGAGGTGAGTTGTACGGTTAGCGTACGATAAAATTTTTACATCCAAACGCGGGATAAGTTTGATATTGTAGAGGAATTAACTTTGGATTTTTCTTGTAAAGAAAAGTGCGGTTTCGTTTGTTCTTTACTCAGACGTAGAATAATAATATCTTTTGTCGGATTTAAATTGTTATATATTTTTTTATTCTCTTCATTAAAGAGTCATCTTTTATGAACGCATATACTGTGAAAATCCTCCTTTTAGCGTTTCGCCCGGTCGAGCGAAAAATCGAAACAATATAACACACACAAAAAAAACTTAGCGTTTATGATAAATTAAGAATAGATATTTAGCAATTTACACGTGTACAGCGATATGAAACCGCTGCATAACGTAATTCGACGTCAAAACTTGTTTACCTTTAGCAAAAGCAATGTTTGTCAAAGGATTTTTCCTTCGTAAATAGATCTAATCCATTCAGGCACAAAGTTTTGCCATTTTAGACAACATAGAATTCAATTCTTTTTTAAGATTTCGTTGTAGGTAGCATTTGGTTCTTGATTTCTCGTATCCATTTACTCAAATGTTTGCCAACAAAGTAATAATATTCAAGGGAATGTGTATGTAGAATGATTCAAAATGGACAAAAGTTACCCAATTCAATTGCTACCTCATGTAAYGTGAGGATTTGTTTTGTTTGCTGGAATATTTACTCTGTTATATTTGTAAACAATGCATAATAGTATATTTTCTTTGAATCCCAAGTCATGGAAATTGTATCRAATTGCCGACCGCACTATACATCACTTAAAACTTCATCAAAAGAATCAGTGTATAGTGCTTACAGGTGACAGTGGATCTGGCAAGACTGAAAATGCTAAGAAGTTTATTATGAGGATCATTAATAGTGTATCAGCTCTTGGTGAAGATCTGGTGAACAATATCACACAGGTAATAGGTTGCATTCAATATCTAATTCCCAGTATCGTGATACCAAACAATGATAAAAATACTCTCTGGTTGAAATCACATTATGGGCAGTGTTTGCCTCTTGAAGGCTGAGGTAATGAGTGAGATTCATTCAGCTGATTTGATACCAACCAATAGAAATACTCTCTGGTTGAAGGGCCTCCCATTGTAGGCTGGTATTRAGATTCTCAAGATTCAGCTGATTGATTTCAAGCAATAGGATACTATCTGATTAACAGCACATGTATCTGTCTATAGATATAATTACTTATCTTCAGTCATTTGAGGTACTAACTGTAAAGATCAAATGTATTCCATCTTTATAGGCTGGAATAGTACTGGAATCATTTGGTAATGCATGCACCTTGACATGTGACAATGCCAGCAGATATATCAGGTTTACAGAGTTGTTGTTCACACAAGACTTCAAGATCAAAGGAGGTAAAAACATGAAATCAATCAATGTGGCTTTTAGTAGAGGGTATGAGGTCAAGGAAACAAAGATACAATGAAGTGATGTAAATTTTTGTTAGTTCAATCGGGAGGGGAGGGACAGAAGATTTATTGTGGTTTCTTGTCCAGCAGGGAAGGGTTGATTGTTGAAAAGAAGGTTGAATGGGATGTCATGTGTTCTTGTCCTAGGGGAGGTTAGGGACAGGAGATTTGTTGTGGTTTCTTGTCCAGTAGGGAAGGGTT